TGATTGAATCATGGGGATGGGTTTCCTCCTTGCTGTTATCATGACAGCGAGTGAGTTCTCATGAGACCTACTTGTTTAAAATTGTGTAGCACTTACTCTTTTGTGCTCTCTCTCCTACTCCTCCATGTAGTACATGCTTGCTTCCTCTTCACCCTTCCACCATGATTGTAGGTTTCCTGAGGCCTCCCAGCCATGCTCCCTGTACAACATGCAGAACTGTGAGTCAATTAAACCTCTTTGCTTCATAAATTACCCAGTGTCATGTAGTTCTTTATAGCAGTGTGAGAATGGACTAATACAAACCCGTACCACATTTCCCCTTCTCTTTTGAACCTGATCATCTCAGTCACATGATGATCCTGGGTTGAAGTAAATGAAAACAGAAAAAAAAAAAAAATAAGAGAGTTTTACTGCCTCCTGAGACTTAATTTTCAAAAAGTGCTAGAGGGCAATATTAAAATAACAAGGGTGTATCAATCAGGCACTCTTGCTCTCCAGTGCCTCTGAAAGATTTTCTCTCTTGTGAAGTTTAGGCATAAGGATGTGAACTCTAGTCTTAACTGAATCCTCTTGTATTAGAGATTTGGCTAAATCCCTCAAGTTTAATCTTGACCTTTGTTTAGAAAATAAATGGTGGGTCTCCAATGACAACCTCCGAGAGTTCAGTTTACAAGGAGCTCTATCAAGGATCCTTAAACATTACACATGTATTTCTTGTGAGAAAATGCTTTAACGCATTGAAGCACAGGGGAAATAAGTTGCTGATAGGCCTTCTCCTTCCAAACTGTGTCATGGCAACAATGCTAGACAGGAATAAGACTTGCTTAAATGGCTCTGTTTATCTTCCCTGTCCTGCTCAGCACTGGAATCTTGAGCATAAGGGTCAGTTAGAATTTTTCTGACTTGGATTCTCATCTTTGATGCCTAAAGGGACCTCCTATACTCTAGCCTTTATGAACAATACAGGAGTTTTAGTTGAAATAATTGAAACAGCACATTGGGATGGAAACTGTATAGAAGTTACAGTACCTTAAGCATAATTATTTATAAACTCTAAGTAAAATAATTGTAGGTTTCTGTCAAAATTTCTAATCCTTCCTTTCCAACAGTTAGCAAAGTGTATGTCCAATTTGGTTTCATTTGTGTTTCTTTTCATTTGTTATCTATAGCCCACTTATTTCTATGATTCTTGCTGTTCCCAACTGACCTTCATTAAAATGATCATTTCTTTTTATACCTGTTTGTTAGTAATAGCAAAAAAATCTTGGTTATTGAATTATTTTACTTAGATCTCGAAGTGTATTGAAGGAAGGTGATGGTCCCCCACACTGTTGGCCTCAAGACCCCTCCAGAATGATTTACCTTTCTGTTTGTCTGGATCTACTGTTTTTTGTCACTCTTGGGCATCATCTGACTGCTATCTTTCATTCAGTCTGTTCTGTCTACAATCTCCGTAATAGTAGAACTAGGGGGAATTGTTAATTCTATTCCCTTTGGAAGGAAGAAAAGCTTCCAGACTGAGTTTGAATTGAAAACTGAATCTTGCACATGGTAGAGAAATGGATGCCAAGATAACTTCTATGTAAATACTATTAAATTTCTTCCTGGGCTACGGGGGTTATGTTCAGGGCTATTATTATTATTATTATCATTATTTTTAAATCATATGTGACATCTGCAGTGTCACAAAGCATTTTAAAGTAACAGACAAACAGAGAGCCAAATCAATGAATGACCCCTCCCATTCACAATTGCTTCAAAAGAAATAAAAGTACTAGAATCCGAACTGGAACAAGGGATGTAAAGGACCTCTTCAAGGAGAACTACAAAACCACTGCTCAGTGAAATAAAAGAGGACACAAGCAAATGGAAGAACATACCGATGGTCATGGGATAGAAGAATCACCCTATTGTGATGAAAAATGAGCCATACTGCCCAATGTTATTTATAGAATATCACCTGCCATCCCCATCAAGCTACCAATGAGTTTCTTCCACAGAATTGGAAAAAACTGCTTTAAAGTTCATATTGAACCAAAAAAGAGCCCGCATCTACAAGACAATCCTAAGTCAAAGAACAAAGCTGGAGGCATTCACGCTACCTGACTTCAAACTATTACTACCAAGGCTACAGTAACCAAAACAGCAGGTACTGGTACCAAAACAGAAAGATAGTAGACCAATGGAACAGAACAGAGGTCCTCAGAAATAATACCACACATCTACAGCCATCTGGATCTTTGACAAACCTGAGAGAAACAAGAAATGGGGAAAGGATTCCTATTTAATAAATGGTGCTGGGAAAATTGGCTAGGCCATAAGTAGAAAAGCTGAAACTGGATCCTTTCCTTTACTCCTTATATGAAAATTAATTAAGATGGATTAGAGACTTAAATGTTAGACCTAATACCATAAAAACCCTAGAAACCTAGGTAGTACCATTCAGGACATAGGCATGGGCAAAGACTTCATGTCTAAAACACCAAAAGCAACGGCCAGCAAAAGCCAAAATTGACAAATGGATCTAATTTAAACTAAAGAGCCTCTGGCACAGCAAAAGAAAAACCATCAGAGTGAACAATGCAAACCTACGAGATGGGAGAAAATTTTTGCAATCTACTCTCATCTGACAGAGGGCTAATAATCCAGGAAACCTTACAAAGAACTCAAACAAATTTACAAGAAAAAAACAACACCCATCAAAAAGGTGGGCAAAGGATATGAACAGAACATTTCATCAAAAGAAGACATTCATACTGCCAACAGACATATGAAAAAAAATGCTCATCATCTTCACTGGCCATCAGAGAATGCAAATCAGAAACCCAATGAGATACCATCTCACACCAGTGAGAATGGTGATCATTAAAAAGTCAGGAAAACAACAGGTGCCGGAGGAGGATTGTGAGAAATAGCGAAACATTGTTAACATTGTTGGTGGGATTGTAAACTAGTTCAACCATTATGGAAAACCAGTTATGGCGCATTCCCTCAAGGATCTAGACTAGATGTTACCATATGACCCAGCCGTCGCATTACTGGGTATGATACCCATAAGAGACTTATAAAATCATGCTGCTATAAAGACACCATGCACACGTATGTTTATTGCAGCACTATTCCAATAGCAAAGACTTGGAATCAACCCAAAATGGTCCATCAGTGACAGACTGGATTAAGAAAATGTGGCACAGTATACACCATGGAATTCTATTGCCAGCCATAAAAAAGGATGAGTTCGTGTCCTTTGTAGGGACATGGATGCAGCTTGAAACCATCATTCTTAGCAAACTATCACAAGAACAGAAAACCAAACACCACATGTTCTTCCACTACAGGTGGGGAACTGAACGAATGAGCATCCACTTGATCGGGAGGGGAACATGACACACTGGGCCGTATCATGGGGAAGGGGGGAGGGAGAGGGACTTGCCACTGGGGAGTTATTACCTGAGCCCAAATTAGAAATAAATAAGTGTGTAAATTTGTATCGAAAAAGTATGCGTGGATGGATGCTGAACGAAAGAGGGGGTTGATGGGTGCAGCACAGCAACATGGCACAAGTATACATATGTAACAAACCTGCACGTTATGCACATGTACCCTAGAACTTAAAATATAATAATAATAATAAATAAATTAAAAAAAAGAACATCCAGACATACTCCCCAGAAGCTCTTAAAATGCAAAAAATAATTTAATAAACATATTCTGATACTTTAAGAAGAAATGCATGGAGCATGAAATCAAGCAAACTTCAATAATCAATCTACACAAATACATTTATGGAACACCTGTATCATACTTCCATTGACTTGCCTATATCCTATTAGCAATGATGGGTTATGTACAAAGAATTATTTTTGCTGTTGGTTATATCATCATTTGTGATATAAGGTGATTTTCATGCAATTATAACATACTTTAAAAATGCTTACTGTGCAGGTTCTGTCAGATAAATATGGCACAATAAAGAAAAAACATTTTGAACACTGATAGCATAGCATATATTTTAAAGATAAATTAGAAGCAAGTGTACGTGAGTGTATACCTGTTGATCAAGGAGGCCTTGATGTTTCCCTCAGCTTGACTAAACTTGACAGGCTTCTTCCAGACTCTGAGCCCCTGACCTCTTTTTTTTCTAGAGCATTTACACAAGAAAAAATTGTAATTGTAAATCCTTTCTCTACCCTTTTGAGATGTAAATATTTTTAAAAGCCTCTTGCCTGTTGTACTACTCAGGGAAGTCTTTTTCAAGGAGCTGTGAGCCAACCCTTTGAAATGTAATAATCATGAAAGATAGCACCCCTGTCTACCAGTCTCTAAGGGAGGGTAGGAGCCTAACTTCAGTGGGTGCCAATTAGCAAGCAGAGATGACCTAATCACAGAGAAAAGTATTTTGCAAACTCAGTGTGCTTCACACACCCCAGTGATCAACGTGCCCCCATCCTCCAGTGTTCTGTAGTTCCCTTCCACTAGCTCATACTAGTCCCAAAGTTCCTCCCACCCCTTGTTATAGTGGTGTTGAGCAGGCTGATTTCTGGCCTCTCTCTCCTATTGTAATTGCCTTGAATAAAGTTTGTCCTTGCTGTTTAACTTTGTCAGATTCAATTTTTGCTTTCACAATATATATGTATACTTACCTTCATATAGCTAACATACAGTTACTGATTGAAAGCCACTTGGAAAAAACAAAAAACATTAATGCCTCATAATATTATAGTCTCTAAAGGGTTCAGGTTTATGCATGCATTCTGGGGTATATATTGTATGAGAACATATACCACGACTTTAATTGTTTTTAATTCTTGTATTGCCTTTCTATCTCACTTTTCTATTTTTCCACATGGGTAATGATAAATATTCCACTTTTCTATTTATCATTACCAACGTACTATGTATTTAGCTTATTTATTTGTTATTTTCTATCTTCTCTGCCTAGAATGAAGCTCCATGGGAGCAGGGATTTTTATGTGTTTTGTTCACTGTTGTATCTTCAGTGCCCAGCTCATGGAGTTGCTCACTATCAGTTGAATAAATGAATGAATTAGCTATTAATATTTTTGTTATTGTTATTATTAGTATAAGCTTCTGTTTTGTCTAGGAATTCTAAAAGCTAACCCAGGATTGAGCCAGAAGGCTGCAGACTGCTTCAGAGTGGGCTCTTTTCAGGGTTATTTTATACAGTCACACTCTGGTGCGTTGTCATCAGCCTATACTGAGGGAAAAATGCATGTATTGCTAGAATATTATTGAGGATATTATTCATTATTTTTGTGATGTCCTCTTTGTGCAGACCAATAGTGAAATTTGTCTCTGCTGTCAGTTTCAGAAATTTTCAGGCCATCGGTTCATTTTCGATTTGTGAATACTGGAACTCCAGTAGCTGATGGTGTTTTCTTCCTTGTGTCAGCTGCCAGAAAGCATAGAACAAAATGTGTGTTCTATCACTAGCAAGGATGGCGTTTATGCTATGCACTGATCTGTCCCTACGTGTTTGCTTTGCAACTGTTCTTTTCCCTTTGCCTTACTTTTGTTAATTGTCTTAAATTCGTGTTATATCAGTCTAGTGTCTTCAGTCCTTTTTTCTGAGATGTAAAAGTTGATCTAAATTTTAGTAACATTAAAGTTAGTAAGCTTTTTATTAATAAAATTACTCTTATGGAGATGATAATAACAATTTAGTATTTAGAAATGCTTTCCTAGTCATAATGTATTCAGTTCTTACACAAGTGATGAGAGACAGGCAGCCTAGGAATTGTATTTTCATACTGTAGCCAGGGAAACTGAAGCATAGAATGATCATGTGCTTTACCCAAATTTAAATGGCTAACTAAACTGAGGAAGCCAGAGAGAATCCAGACCTTCAAATTGTTCCTCCAAAGATCTCACTTTTGGTTGATATTCCTTCACTTGGCTCAACTTTTCTGGTTAGATAAACATTTTTCACATAACGTCTGGCTCAGCAGCACTTCCATTGGATGACATGTGGCTTCCATTTTTGCCATGGAATTGCACCATATATGAGTATTTAACTTAGAGACAGACTTGAGAATCAAATTCAACTGCAGAAACAGAATAGGGCCTGGGCTCTGGAGTCAAGACTGTCTGTGTTCAAATCCTAGATCTGCTAATTACTAGCTGTAGAAGCCTATGAAAGTTGCCCAACATTTCTGTGCCCTAGTTTCTCACATCATCTATAAAACAGAAATGAAGATACTAAGAATACCTAGGTCATTGGATTGTTTGGAGAAGACAATGAGAGGATACATTTAAAGCTCCTAGAACAGTACTGGGAACATAGTAGGCACTGAACAATTGTTAATTGTTTTCTTAGACCAGGTCCCAGGGAAATGAGCCAAACCTCAGCTTGTGTACTAAAATATAACATAGTTATTTGCAACTGGGAAGCAAGAGAGAAGAATAAAAGAGAAATGAAGTTGGGATAAAAGTAAAGAAAATGCAAGGTAGTATGTTTTTAAGCTGGCCATGATGTCATAAGAAAACAAAGATGAATGCTCAATCTTGTGGGACTTCATCCATGTAGGCTATATGGAATCACTGCATTCAGGGACAGCCCATTGAGCACAAGGGAGTAGAAGAGGTTTTTTTGTTTTTTTTTTTCTTAATCCTTATCTTCTGTTTCTCATTGATCAAAGTTCAGTCCGTGGGACATTAACTCTCCTCTACTTCTAGCAGGTGGTGTTACCTGGCCAGATCCCATGTCCTCAGATGTAGCATGGGTCTCATCTGAGCTCAGAAGTGTGAAGAACCAAAGCCTTTGTAAGTTTGGCTGCCTAGGATGAGCATCAGAGCTGCTGCAATTTCTGCCATGGGGAGTGCAGTAAATGCTGAATATGAACCTATATCTCATCCCAGGGGAGCTGAAGCAGTTGCTAGTGTTAAGAGGTGCAGGGGTATTGGAGGTGGCTGGGACTCTTCATTGAGAAAGTGGCTAAAGTCCAGGGATAGGCGAGGCTAAGAAAATGTAGGGAAGTACTAAATTAGGTCCGTTACTACCATTACCTCCTGAAATCTTCTGTAGTAGACACAGACACCCACTGTTCGGATGTCCCTTCAAGAAGGGACTTGCTGCTATGATGAACTCCATTAGCTGAAGGCCTTCAGCTATGATCACCTTCACAATCCATCTTAGTTTTCAAGTAAAGGGCAAATCCATCTGGGGAACTCCGGAATAAGCAAGGTGTTGGTGGCCAAGGTTTTATACTTCTCAGGATGGCTCTGGCCAGGAATTGAACAAGGCAGGGGTAACAAGGACTTAGCCTTTTCCACCAAGCTCTTGATGACATTACCAAGCAAATCTTGCTCTACATCTCCACTTTGGCCTAGACCTTGTCAGCCTGCAACAGGTTTGATGGCTATCTCTGCCCAATCCTGCCTTCTTTTCTTTCATTTTACTTCCCAATAAATATACCTTTCACATTTCTTGGTACATCACAGGGTCTGCTTTCCAGGGAGGCCAATCCCAACACTTCCCTAAAGCAAACACATGTATTAATAGATATTAATTATATGAAGGCTAAATCCTAAAATAGAAAGGAGGAAATACTTTAGTCAAGCAGAAGCTACCTGGGAAAATTTTTAATACAAATGAATAGTCATCAGTGTATATTTACTATACAAAAGGGCCAACCATAGGTTCTTATTAGATACCAATAATGTATTCAAAATTAATTTTAAAAAGCTTAGAAAATATGACTATGAGAAAACAAAATTTTTCTTATTGTAAATTATATAATAACAAGAACTGCCTTTTTGAAGACCTACTATGTGCTAGGTATTGTGGTAATCATATCATATATACTTTCTTATTTAATCTTTGCAATAACTCTGTGCTATTTTCTCTTGGTTTAGACAAGAAAATCAAGGCACAGAAACTAAGAAAATTGTCAAAGATCTGACAGAGGCAGGATTTAGATCTAGGTAAGATCTAGGAAGCTCAAATTCTTCACCATTACTTTATGATAACAGCTTGCAAATGCCAATGTTGTACATGCATCTGGCTGAACACTACATGTACTATTTAATCCTCATGACAGCCCCTTGGAGCACGTGCAGTTGTTATCCACAATTGAGGCCAAACGACTTTGTATGACTCAGGAAGGTCAAGCCTAACAGGTAAAAGAGTTGGGGTTCAAAACCAAGACAATTTTGTTTCAGAGCTTATCACTATTCTATGCTGTCTTCATCAGATGTAAATAGTTTGCCCTTGACCTGCAGTAATCTATCTTACAGAAATCCATGGTATGAGCATTATTGGTTATACTCAAGTTAAAGTCATCCACAGTAAAACTGAGAACTGCCTATCAATTTTGCTAAAGGACATACTGTACTTCCTTAACTTGAGTCTCAACTTAGTGTTGACATGGGGGATCCTATACGTCAAGATTATTTGCCTATTAAACTTGTCATCTGCTTTTATAGAAATTCAAGTTTAATATGTGGTAAGCCTCAGAAAGCCGTACATGCTTTGATATGCTTAGAGATTTTCCAGGTGTTCAAATGATAGTGAAGACCGGTAGACCGGTCTTAACTTTCCACTGAAACATTTAACCAGAACAGTCTCTGGGTCTGAGTCTTTCCTTTTTGGGATGTAACAGGGAAACGAGTAGACAGAATGTCTGTCTAATTGCCGTTTCTCCAAACACCACTGTCATGTCTCTGGGCCATTCCTCAAGCTATTCCCTTTTACTGGAATTATTTTCACTCGTTTCACTATCTGACTAAATCCTTTTGAGTCTTAAAGATCTGGCTCAACCCTTACTTTTTCCTGTGAAAACTTCCCAACCCTTTTCCTCTGGACTGCGACTAACCATACTCTTTGCAAGAATGAGTAACTTCTGTGCTTTCACTTTTTTATACGTCTATTACAGAATCTTTCATTATGTATATGGTGTATGTTCATCTTTCATTGTTGGTTCTTTGAAGGCAAGAGCCAAGTATTTTAATGATTCTTGAACTTGCTGTGCCTAGTGTAATATCTGGTACATATGGGTGCTCAGATTGTTCCATTGTTATTTAAGAATCAGAATATTCAAAGGCACAAGAGAAACATTACCTATCTAACCACATTCTATGTGACTGGAATTTCCAATAGGCATGTCAGGAACAATTCACTAACCACAAGTCGGTAAATAATTTTTTCTGGGACAATGTGAGGGCAGGGACCGTGTCTATCTTATTTCACAACAGCATCTCCAGCTTCTAGTGTCATATCTGGCACATAGTAAGTTGCTGATCCAACGCTATGAAACTATTATTTTCACAATGCTGCCATACACACACTATGTACACTACCACCAGTATATTATTACTATGAGAATGCATTTATTTTAGAAGTTACATTCCCATGCCAAACTAATTGGGAGAAACTCTTAGTTGAGACATCGACTTGGCAACCTGCTATATCAATGTACACACAAATTTCTTTTTTCAGACTCTCCATGATATAATTTTGCAACAATCAAGATTTCCATGACTTTTCCAATCTCCCATTCTTTATTGGCTCTTATTACAACTAATTGTAAAATAGAGTTCTTGTAAATCACACCTTTATGTGAGCACTGAAGAATAGCCTAATGAACTAATGGGCTAGGTTTACTGTATCTCACTGAAATACCTCTTCTTGTCTGGCAGCTCTTCCACCAGTACATTCAAATTGAACGTAATTTGGCCAGCCCTCCACAGCTGGGGAGTCTTTTTATGCTTCTGAACACAAATTCAACCCTTTATACCCACACCCACCCACTCATTCACCCATGTCTTTTCCCAGCCGGAGCTTCATAATGGATGTGATGCCACATCTACAATGACCCTTTCCTTCTCCCCTGAGGGTCCTCATATATCCTTCAGTAAACTCAGTGCCATGTAATTGTTGAACAAATAGGTCATGAATCAGCCTGCAAGTGTAGATGATGATAGCTTGTTTAAAGTGAGAATGATGGAAGGGCCCCAGAGAAAATAAGAAAGGTAGAAATTTGCCAGAAGTCAACTGAAAAAAATTGGAGTTTTCATCACTATGTTCTTTTAGTACAGGTTTTAGCTTCCCCTCAAAACATACAGCTTTTCTCTTTATAAAGTAATTTTCTACATAAATATTTATAGCAACATTGTTCATAATAGCCAAGAGGTGGAGATAACCTAAATATCCATTAACCGATTAATGGATAAACAAAATGTGGTATATTCATACAATGGAGTAGTAATTGGGCATGAAAAGGAATGCATTACTTCTTGACTAATACATACGACGACAATGAGGAATCCTGAAATCACGCTAATGAAGAAAACCAAGAACACACCACACGTTATATGATTCCATTTATATGAAACATCCAGAACCAGAACAGGCAAATCTATAAAGAAAATAAACTAGATTAGTGCTGGGAAGGATGGGGTGATAGGATGTTGATAGCTATAGGCACAGGGTTTTCTCTTGAGTGATGAAAATGTTCTAAAATTGACTAATGGTGACGGTTGCACCTATTTGTGAATATACTAAAACTATTGAATTAGACACTTTGTTTGTTTGTTTGTTTTATTATACTTTAAGTTCTAGGGTACATGTGCACAATGTGCAGGTTTGTTACATATGTATACATGTGCCATGTTGGTGTACTGCACCCATTAACTCGTCATTTACATTAGGTATATCTCCTAATGCTATCCCTCCCCACTACCCCCTCCCCACAATAGGACCCAGTGTGTGATGCTCCCCTTCCTGTGTCCAAGTGATCTCATTGTTCAATTCCCACCTATGAGTTTGCTGAGAATGATGGTTTCCAGCTGCATCCATGTCCCTACAAAGGACACGAACTCATCCTTTTTTATGGCTGCATAGTATTCCATGGTGTATATGTGCCACATTTTCTTAATCCAGTCTGTCACTGATGGACATTTGGGTTGATTCCAAGTCTTTACTATTGTGAATAGTGCCGCAATAAACATACGTGTGCATGTGTCTTTATAGCAGCATGACTTATAATCCTTTGGGTATATCCCCAGTAATGGGATGGCTGGGTCAAATGGTATTTCTAGTTCTAGATCCTTGAGGAATCGCCACACTGTTTTCCACAATGGTTGAACTAGTTTACAGTCCCACCATCAGTGTAAAAGTGTTCCTACTTCTCCACATCCTCTCCAGCACCTGTTGTTTCCTGATTTTTTAATGATTGCCATTCTAACTGGTGTGAGATGGTATCTCATTGTGGTTTTGATTTGCATTTCTCTGATGGTGAGTGATGATGAGCATTTTTTTCATGTGTCTGTTGGCTGTATGAATGTCTTCTTTTGAGAAGTGTCTGTTCATATCCTTTGCCCACTTTTTGATGGGGTTGTTTGTTTTTTTCTTGTATATTTGTTTGAGTTCTTTGTAGGTTCTGAATATTAGCCCTTTGTCAGATGAGTAGATTGCAAAAATGTTCTCCCATTCTGTAGGCTGCCTGTTCACTCTGATGGTAGTTTCTTTTGCTGTGCAGAAGCTCTTTAGTTTAATGAGATCCTATTTGTCAATTTTGGCTTTTGTTGCCATTGCTTTTGGTGTTTTAGACATGAAGTCCTTGCCCATGCCTGTGTCCTGAATGGTATTACCTAGGTTTTCTTCTAGGGTTTTTATGGTATTAGGTCTAACATTTAAGTCTCTAATCCATCTTGAATTAATTTTCATATAAGGAGTAAGGAAAGGATCCAGTTTCAGCTTTCTACTTATGGCTAGCCAATTTTCCCAGCACCATTTATTAAATAGGGAATCGTTTCTCCATTTCTTGTTTCTCTCAGGTTTGTCAAAGATCAGATGGCTGTAGATGTGTGGTATTATTTCTGAGGGCTCTGTTCTGTTCTATTGGTCTATATCTCTGTTTTGGTACCAGTACCATATTGCTTTGGTTACTGTAGCCTTGTAGTATAGTTTGAAGTCAGGTAGCATGATGCGTGCAGCTTTGTTCTTTTGGCTTAGGATTGTCTTGGCAATGCGGGCTCTTTTTTGGTTCCATATGAACTTTAAAGCAGTTTTTTCCAATTCTGTGAAGAAAGTCATTGGTAGCTTAATGGGTATGGCATTGAATCTATAAATTACCTTGGGCAGTATGGCCATTTTCACAATATTGATTCTTCCTATCCATGAGCATGGTGTGTTCTTCCATTTGTTTCTGTCCTCTTTTATTTCACTGAGCAGTGGTTTGTAGTTCTCCTTGAAGAGGTCCTTTACATCCCTTGTCAGTTGGATTCCTAGGTATTTTATTCTCTTTGAAGCTATTGTGAATGGGAGTTCATTCATGATTTGGCTCTCTGTTTGTCTGTTACTGGTGTATAAGAATGCTTGTGATTTTTGCACATTAATTTTGTATCCTGAGCCTTTGCTGAAGTTGCTTATCAGCTTAAGGAGATTTTGGACTGAGACAATGGGGTTTTCTAAATATACAATCATGTCATCTGCAAAGAGGGACAATTTGACTACTTCTTTTCCTAACTGAATACGCTTTATTTCTTTCTCTTGCCTGATTACCCTATCCAGAAGTTCCAACACTATTTTGAATAGGAGTGGTGAGAGAGGTCATCCCTGTCTTGTGCCAGTTTTCAAAGGGAATGCTTCCAGTTTTTGCCCATTCAATATGATATTGCCTGTGGGTTTGTCATAAACAACTCTTATTATTTTGAGATACGTTCCATCAACACCGAATTTATTGAGAGTTTTTAGCATGAAGGTCTGTCGAGTTTGTCAAAGGCCTTTTCTGCATCTACTGAGATAATCATGTGTTTTTTTTCTTTGGTTCTGTTTATATGCTGGATTATGTTTATTGATTTGTGTATGTTGAACCAGCCTTGCATCCCAGGGATGAAGCCCACTTGATCATGGTGGATAAGCTTTTTGATGTGCTGCTGGATTCGGTTTGCCAGTATTTTATTGAGGATTTTTGCATCGATGTTCATCAGGGATATAGGTCTAAAATTCTCTTTTTTTGTTGTATCTCTGTCATGCTTTGGTATCAGGATGATGTTGGCCTCGTAAAATGAGTTAGTGATTGGAATAGTGATTGGAATAGTTTTCTTTTTTCTAGTGATTGGAATAGTTTCAGAAGGAATGGTACCAGCTCCTCCTTGTACCTCTGGTAGAATTTGGCTGTGTATCGGTCTGGTCCTGGACTTTTTTTGGTTGGTAGGCTCTTAATTATTGCCTCAATTTCAGAGCCCGCTATTGGTCTATTCAGGGATTCAACTTCTTCCTGAGTGTCCAGGAAATTATCCATTTCTTCTAGGTTTTCTAGTTTATTTGCGTAGAAGTGTTTATAGTATTCTCTGATGGTAGTTTGTATTTCCATGGGGTCGGTGGTAATATCCCCTTTATCATTTTTTGTTGCGTCTATTTGATTCTTCTCTCTTTTCTTCTTTATTAGTCTTGTTAGCAGTCTATCAATTTTGTTGATCTTTTCAAAAAACCAGCTCCTGGATTCATTGATTTTTTGGAGGGTTTTTTTTGTGTCTCTATCTCCTTCAGTTCTGCTCTGATCTTAGTTATTTCTTGCCTTCTGCTAGCTTTTGAATGTATTTGCTCTTGCTTCTCTAGTTCTTTTAATTGTGATGTTAGTGTGTCAACTTTAGATCTTTCCTGCTTTCTCTTGTGGGCATTTAGTGCTATAAATTTCCCTCTACACACTGCTTTAAATGTGTCCCAGAGATTCTTGTATGTTGTATCTTTGTTCTCATTGGTTTCAAAGAACATCTTTATTTCTGCCTTCATTTTGTTATGTACCCAGTAGTCATTCAGGGGCAGGTTGTTCAATTTACATGTCGTTGAGCAGTTTTGATTGAGTTTCTTAGTCCTGAGTTCTTGTTTAATTGCACTGTGGTCTGAGAGACAGTTTGTTATAATTTCTGTTCTTGTACATTTGCTG